CTCTGAAGTCTTGCTCAAGTGGTTTGAATAGTTTAGCAGTACTGAATTGCTGCCACTCCACCACTCCTAGCAGATGAGCCACGCTGAATCCACTGAATTCACATAGTACCATCATATAGTCTCCATTTGCCCAGTGCTTTCATTGCAACTAGGGCTGTAGTAGTTGATTGACTTGTTCTCTTCATTTCATGGTTAACGTATCTGAGTCTTGAAAAGCTCGATTGGGGGGCTCCCCAAGGAAACTTTGTCTGAGGTGTTCCCAGACCAGATTCTTGTATGTACAATAGCAGGAACCAGGCTCAGCACAGTGCATCACCCTGATCAGTTGGTGTTTGTCAGTTGCTGGACTGGTTGTGTTTTCCATCCCTGTCTTCCACCGGAACCAATGGGTGTTTGCAGTCCTGCCTGATTCTGCCAAGCACATACTCGGCCCTCGCATAAACCAGTGGGAGCTGCAAGCCCAGTTAGAGTGAATACCAACATAACCCCCTGGCAGGCCCTGCCCCCTACCCTGGTTTGCCAGTCTGTGTGGCAGACTTAGTCCAGTCTGTCCCACCTCCCTTGCTGCTCTCATACATGTCAATGGTAATGAGTGCCTGTTCCATCTGCCAGCTCAACTATGCAGCCCTCACGGATGTTGTTGGTGTGTCTCTCTGTCAAGACACCCCAGCCCCTGTCCTAGTTTTCGTGCCTTTCTACTTGGGGGTGGTAACCAAGAGGGAGGAGCCCACTGTTTCCCTGCCAGGCCACTCCAACTCCTGGACCATGCAATCTCCAGGTGGTTCTATGGTTTAACTTGACCAGAACTCGACCCCCAGTGCCACCTTCTGCCATCTGATGCTGTGGCTAAGCTCAAGCAACCCCTCACCTTCTCCGGATGTAGATTGCACCAGTAGGAGTAATCAGCCCAGCCGGCTTTTTCCCCTGATCTGGTCCACATGAGGTGCACAGGTGCTGCTCGGCCCTGCCTAGTCTGGTCTGCACCATCCGAACTCACACTGCTTCAGTGAGAGTAGCTGTCCAGCAGGGGAACCACTCCCGTTATTCCCTGCCTGTTCTGCCCCCTCCCTTCCTGGTCTCTCATTGGGTGCTGTGGTCACATCTGGCCAGGGCATAGCTCATCTTGGCATTTCGTGTTGTGTCCTGCTTTTGTCACAACTGAAGCTGGCTCGACCCAACTTTGTGTTCTGGCATTCAGATTTTCCAGTGGATGGTTGTTACTGATTCAGCTTGGTCTGCCCCCTACCCATGCCTAATGTATGCTTGTGGGACACTTTCCATGACGTCCTTCTGGGCTGTTTCCTTCATCAAACTTCGTCCACTTACCTGCTGGGTCTTGTGTCCTTCCAGAGGAGTTGTTCTGGGCTCCTCCATCAGAACCACTCTGAGTGCCAGATTTCACGCAGACCAGTGGGTTCATGAGGCAGCACTACTCAGTTCACCTCCACAACTTGTGCCAATAAAGACTACAACTGTATCCTGACCAGAACACAGCCCCATTCCAGCTTGTGTGCACCCTGGTGGAACCTCCACCTAGCTAGGGTGTCCCTTTAGCCCCCAACTGGGCCTGTTTCCCAGCCATAGATCCTACACATGCCAGTGGTTGCTCAGACTCAGCTTGGCACAGCCCTCACCTGTTGTGACCCCTGCCTTAGACACTGTAGCTCAGCATCTGTGGCTCACGCAGACCACAAGGTGCAAAAACATAGCTGGGCATGCCCTGGCTCCAGCTGGTTTCCAGTCTTACTTGTGGGTTAAGGGTTGCACAGTACTGCCCAATGCGCCCGTTCCATCACCTTTTCATACATTGATGAACCGTTAGTGCTACTTTGCCCAGCCTGTCCGACCCCGAGGTCAGGATAAAGTGTTCACCAGTGGGAGCTATAACTCACCAAGCTCACCAGGGGAGCTTCCCCAGTTTCTGCCCCTTATCCCCTCCCAGACACAGTCCTCCTACATGCCACTGGACTTTAGGCTAGTGCCCGATGCAGTCAAGTCATTCCTTGGCCTAGCATGAGCTGGTTAGCATTGCAGTCCAGCCCACCCCACACCCCACTCAGGATGCACACTTGAGCACCACAGCCCGACTATTCCAGATAGTCACCAGGGCTACAACTGCCGTTGTTCACTTGACCTGAAATCTCTTTTATCTTTTTTTTTTAAGTTTCCTCCCAGAGGATAGCTGATGAGACACAGGAATTCCACAAACTCCATGTGTAGGTTTAACTCTAGCAATGCTTCCAAAATTTGTTGGCGGTCCCGGTGCGATGGCGCAGTGGTTAAGGTCCTCGTCTTGCACGCCCGGGATCCCATATGGGCGCCGGTTCTTATCCCCAACAGCCTCGCTTCCCATCCAGTTCCTTGCCTGTGGCCCGGGAAAGGCAGTCAAGGACGGCCCAAGGCTTTGGGACCCTGCACCCATGGGGGAGACCTGAAGAGGCTCTGGCTTCGGACGGGCATAGTATCGGCCATTGCACTCACTTGGGGAGTGAATCATTGGACGGAAGATCTTCCTCCTCTGTCTCTCCTCTGTGTTTATGCGCCTTTCCAATAAAAAAATAATAAAAAATAAATCTTAAAAAAAAATTGCTGCAAGTAACCTTACATCTAGAATTACTTATTGGTCTTTTCATGATGCCTAGCACTTGAATCATCATCTGCCACCTGCCAGATACATTCTCAGGATGTTGTGTTTGAATCAGAGTACTCAAGCCAAGATGGATTGGTGCTGTTATGGGATACAAGATATCCCAAGCCTTATTTTGAGTTTCTGTGCCACATTTTCACTGCTATCCTGCATCAACTTAAAATACACAATTCCAAGTAATTGAAAGTGTCATTTTAAAAAGTTGTTATGCTAATGAATTAATAAAGAAGAAGTAATGCTCATTAGTTATGTTCATAAATGTCCACATTTTATTAATATTAAAATGTACTCAATCTAGAATGGCAACAAACCTCATTGGCTTTAATTGAACATTTTAACAGAAAAAACTTAGATGAGTTTCATGGAGATGGTTTACTCTTTTCTTTATTTCAGATCGTTACAGAAAGAATGAGCTGCTTGGAGCTAATCAGGAAAGTGAAGAAATCATCTTCAGGCAAGTTGTAATCACAAACATTGTACAATAACCCAAAATGAAGTTGCATTGCCAAAGGTGATATGTTTCTGAAAATATACTGATTTTTATTGCAAAGTCAGACATACAGAGAGGAGGTGAGTGATTAAAGATCTTCCATGCATTGATTCACTTCCCAGGCAACAACAACAACTAGAGCTGAAGCGAGGAGCACGGAACCCCTTCCAGGTCTCCCACACAGCTGCAGAATCTCAAGGCTTTGGACTGTCCTCGACTGCCTTCTCAGGCCACGTGCAGAAAGCTGGATGGGAAGCAGGCTGCTGGATTAAAACCAGCACCCATATGCGATCCTAGTACATTCATTCTAGGAATTTAGCCACTAGTAGTATATCTCACAGGGCCCTGATAAAGATACTTAAAATTAGCTGTGCCCATAATTAAAACATGATATGAATGAGAAATTGTACAAAAATGCAACTTAAAAATATGATTTGCTTCTTTACATATACATACGTATTTCATTTATAGTTAGAGTGGTCATTTGAAATCACGAGGTGAATGTAGAAAGCAGATGGAGTGAAATTATGTTACTTTTGTGAGAGCCAGAGGATGGTGTGCCTCTTGAATGGAGAGAGGTGGAGAAAACAAAATTTCAAAAGGGTCTTTGGTTTTGAAGTGTCCCCTGACCTTTCTCTGGGCAGGTACCTGTGAGTAACGCATTTTGCAGTGGTTTTCTCTCGAAGAGACACGGAATAAATCCTACTTTGTAGCTCCAAATATATCCTTGATATGCTATGCCTTCTCATGTCTCAGATTTAGGAAGACACACGAGTGATCTAATTGAGACAGGATACAAATGAAAGCAACTGTTCTTTTCTCAACTAATCTGTGTTCTATGGAATGGGTCATCTAAAGACCCACATAGGTCACTTCTAAAGATCAAACCAAGGCACAGCTTGGTAGGCCAGCAGCTAAAGCCCTTCCTTTTGCATGCATTGATCTCATATGTGCACTTATTCGTATTCTGGCAGCCCCACTTAACATCCAGCTCCCTGATTGTTGCCTGGCATTGTAGTCGAGCACAGCGCAAAGCCTTGTGACACTGAACCTGTGTGTGAGACCCAGAAGAGTTCCTGACTTTCTGGCTTTGTGTCAGCTCAGATTCAGCCATTGTGGTAACTTGCGGAATGAATCAACAGACGGAATATCTTCTTCTCTCACTCTCCTGCTGTCTGCATATCTGACTTTCCAATAAAAATATACAAATTTTAAACACCAACAAAAAAATCAAGGCCAAGAAGAATACTTGGGGGTTGCAAGGAGTCTCATCACTCAAGAGAGAATAAACTAACCTGAAACATGAGAAAAGAACCCAGAGCTTGGGTACATGTCAGGTGCTTGGCATTCAGAATCCACCTAGTGTGTTTGAAGTCATGCAGAAAAGTGCCCTTTGCTGAGGACTGTCAATCTTCCCTAAGGAGCTGTCCAAACACAAGCATTCAGAGCCTAGGGTCTAATATGAAAATTGAGTTGATAAGGAAAGTGCAAGTAGGTAGGTGCTGAGCAGAGCGTCTGAAGTTTAAACTGCTGTACTTCCTACCTCCACCTCTCTAAAATGTAGTCCCTCTGGATGTTTAGCTACAGCAAGGCAGTGGTTGGGGCTTGGGTCTTTCTTCCGGTGTTATATCGTGCACCAGAGCAAATGTTACCAGAAAGACTCAGTGCCTCTTTCTGTATCATACTATAGAAACAGAAACAGAAAATCAGTTTTCAGTAGATGTTTTACTTGCTAAGTGACCAGGTAAACTTGGATGCAGGGCAGAGAAAGCACCTGCAAGTAGAGATCTTAGAAGTCAACTTGCTTTTGAAAGGACAGAAGCAAGACACCGTAGCTCATTTGAAATCTTTTCTTCCCCCAGG